CTTTTAGATATTATTGACAAAGTACTTAACCTAGGGAGAAAAATGTTCCAGAGAAAATTCTATAGGTCATCTCCAGAAAAATAGTCACTAAAATGAAATAGATAAGTAGCGTTCAGCCTTATATGTGTGGTTAAAATTGAATTGTGGTGTTTTCCTTCTTTATCCCCAAATAAATCCACCTCGATGAATTCCTGGGATCTTGGGTGGTAAGAAAAAGAGGGAGAGCATATGTATAACTCTGTGTATGTGTGTGCACGTGCGCATGTGTGCGTGTGCATGTGTGTATGTGTGTATTGTTGAAGCTGGAAGGAGTATTTCTTGTGAGGAATATGTGTGGTGAGTTACTGTGAGTTATGTCAGTCCTCCTCAGTTCCTAGCACATGTTAGGAGACAAATCAGGATGGTTGCTATATGCTTTTTCCCAGGTTTCCTTGGCCAGCATGGTTACCATGGTGACTCAATGACTGCTGTGGGACTTGGTACAGCCTGAAAATCTATTTATGATTCTTGCTTGAATCACTCATTACTATGATCGTTATGAAGTGTTGCTTTTATAATTCTGTCATTCCTTCTAGATTTATTAATTGATGTTCAAATGTTGGGTAGAGCTTCCCACTCTCCCCTATGGTTTATTTATTTGTTCATTCATTTATTTAACTACTATGACTCATAGATTCCTATTTTGCTGAAAGGGTTACCACCTAACATTATAATTATTTATTTTGTTCGTCACATTGTCACAGAATTGGCCAGTGTTTGCCCCTTCAGGTTGGCTTCTCTGTCCATTTGTCACCTCCCTAGAATTCTTTGAGCATGGACTTTGGTCTGTGAGCTTGAATATCTCCCAGTCTGTAGAAAGGAAGTAATGATGTCCCTCAGAGCATTGCTTAGAGGATTTAAAGTAAAAAAGTCTGAAAATAACAACGTACAGCATGGGACATCTAGTAGGCCCTCAAAATGTTAGTTCCTCTTCCCAATTTTGCCTCCTTCATTCTGTCAAGGCAGTGTTTCTGACATGAACATCATAGCATGAGTACCGGAGACAATACTTGGACATGGAGCAGCAAGCGGGAATGAGCCCACATTTCCATGATGTGAGAGCTTCGGTGTCACTGCTGTGTGCGGAAGGGGGCTGTGGGATGGAGCTAGGGAAGAGGCACAGCATCATTGGACAGCTTCCAGTGACCTGAGTGGGGACAGGCAAGCACATGCTCACCCATTGCCCCTGTGTTTCATGTGCTCTCCCTTTCTCTCACTTTCCTCTCTATTCCATGTGCTGTCTGTCAGGTGTTGTCGGCCTGATCCACCCATTATTAAATTTCCAATCCACTTTTTAACTCAGGTTTTTTGTAGCTTCTTAAAGGTAATTGCCTAGATTTACATTTCTTTAACAGCTGTAAGGAGTGATGTTTTAATTCTATAATTTCTTCATTTATTAGTTAGAATTCTTCTATGAAACAAACTTCCTCTCAACAACTACATGGTTACACTGAGGTATGGTCCACACAGAAGGGAGGGATGAATGCTTATTTCTTTTTCACTACTTCCACATTTTTTTTTACAAGAGAACAAATGTATGCCTTTATTTATTTACTTTTCATTAAGTTTAAATCCTTGAGAAGTACAGCATCACACAGATTCTGTGGCCAATGGCTTTAGCCGGAAGGTTGCTTTGGAATTTGGCACGAACCATGCCACTGTTGCCATGAGCACGAGTTACTTTTCCCCAGATTACTCTGGTTTTGTTTGGTTTGCCACCAGGAGTCACTGTGTTGTTCTTTGCTTTGTACACATAAGCACATCTCTTGCCTAGATAGAATTCCGTTTCATCTTGAGCATAAACACCTTCGATTTTAAGAGCTGTGTGTTCCCTCTGGTCCCGGAGACCCTGCTTATAGCCAGCAAAAATGGCCTTGGACCACAGCCTTCCAGACATTATTTGGCGTTTTAGGAGTCCTGTTCCCAGCAGGCCTCCACAGGCTCCAAGATGGCAGAAAGAGCTATTTCCACTTTTTAGAATAAAGAGTTGTTTCGCCTGGATCCTCCAAAGATGAACTGTGAGTTTGTTTTGTGTGTTGTTTTTCTTTAAGTATGTCATCATGAGCTCTAGATGTTTATATACTTGAGGTTGTGATCTATTGCAGCCATTAATGTTTTTGATGTTCAATTGGTCTATCTTAGGCCTGTGGGAGTCCATTTGGGTTGGCTTTTGTGTCTTTGATATCCTTTCTGGCATGAGCTGTTTGGTCCAGCTCATCTGGTACAATCCCTACTCAGCCCTGGAATCAGCTATTTCTTCAAGGAAGCCTGGTTCTTTTAGGGGGAAATATTTTTTTAGAGGATTCAGTCTGGGAACTAGAGATGCTCATTGCTACTGTGTTGGTCACTGTTGATTGTCCTTTCTACTACCTGGAGCCTGTAAATATGTATTATATTTTTTATGGGAATATACATCATCTCCTTCTATCCTGGGCTTATAGGTTCCTCTGTCACCTTATAGGTAATAATTTTTATCAGTTGTGTTTTAACCTTCCAATTTTAAAACATACAATAATTTACAATATATATATTAGTTTTCTCTCCTGTTCATTTGTAAAAGGTGGCATATTCTACACCAGTGCTCTGTAATAAAAATTTCTGCAGAAATGAAAATGTTCTGTATCTGTGCTATCCAACTTGGTAGTCACTAGCTACATGTGGGTGTTCGGCATCTAAAATGTGGCTACTGCAACTGAGGAACTGAATTTTTGATTTCATTTAATATAACTAATTTAAATTTAGGGGCGCCTGGGTGGCTCAGTTGGTTAAATGTCCAACTCTTGGTTTTGGCTCAGGTCATGATCTCAGGGTCCTGGGACCAAACCCTGGGTCCAGTGGGGAGTCTGCTTTCCCTCTCTCTCCCTCTGCCCTCCCCCTGCTCTTGCTCTTTCTCTCTAAAATAAATAAATCTTAAAAAGATAAATTTAAATGGTTCTGTGTGTCTATGACTATCATATTGGACAGAAACAGTTCTATACATTTTTCTGTACCTTGCTTTTTTCACTGAACAATATAGTCAAAGCAGTACAGAGAGGGAGTCCTCATTGCTTTTCTTTTTTTTCTCATTGCTTTTTAAGCTGCATAGTACACCAGGATGTAGATGTGCCATAGCTTATTCATCTAACCCCCTATTGGTGGACAGCTGTCTTGTTTCTAGTTTTCTGCTGTTACGAAGTTTTCTTTAAGGAATGACCTTGTACTTATACCTTTTCATTTTTTGTATTATTGCTTTAGGATAGATTCTTAAAAGAGAGATTACTGGTTCCAAGAGGAAATACATATGTAATTTTATTAGATAGCATCAAATCCCATCCACAGGGTTTGAACCATTTCATATTACCTTCAGTGATGCATGGGAATGCTGATTTCTTCACAGACTGGTGAGAAGAAGTAGTTATTTTTTTCTTTGAATGTCTTATTATGAGTTAGGCTGAGCAATTTTTACATGTTTAAGGCACTTTTTTTTTTTTGGTGAAAAACGTGTTTGTATGTATTGCCCCTTTTTCTTTCCTGGTGTTTTTTGGGAGTATTTTTGTCTTCATTTTTTTTCATAACTCTGTATATTATGGATATAACCATTTGTGATATAAGTTGTAAATATTTTTCCCAATCTGTAATTTTTCATTTTGCTTTGCTTTTTTTTTGGATTTTGCCATGTAATTTTTAAATGAAATTAAATACATAACTCTTTCCCTAATTGCTTCTAGATTTTTAGGCATAGCTGAAAAGTTTCCTCCGCCTCCAGGTTATAGAGGGATTCCAGTGAGTGTGCTTCTGTGGACAGGAGAGAGATGAGAGAAGTGAACCATATTGGGGTGTCAGGCATAGGAGGAACAGTTGGGGAGGTGACCATATTGTGAGAAATCTGTGAAAACCATGTCATTAAGTCAGGAGAATTAGATGGTGGTCAGGATCCTGGTCTTGGGCTTGTCTTGAGAACTCAGTCTCTCTTCTTTCTCCTGTGGATGTGAGTCCAGACCCACACAACTGGGAGATGAGGTCTTTTATGAAGTGGAAATTCCACGTCACCTTAGATGGATCCCTCACAGGTCTAAATGAGAGGACCATCCTCCTAGTGATAAGGAGAAACACAAAATCATTTCCAAAATCTTCCACATAACTTGGCCACAGACTAAAGAGAAAGTAAAACCTTTAGTTTACAACCATGAGAGAACCAAGACTGAAACCACACAATTGTTACCTTGTCCTTCACTCTCTTTCTGGGAATAAGGTCTCCTCAGGAGAAGGTCATAGCCTCTTAGTGCTATTCAAGATGATGGAGGTGTGTGTTACAAGTTGCCTTTTCCCAGGGTATAGCATCTCCCTGCTCAATCACCTTATTTCCTGCTTAGATGCTGGGTTTTCATCTTGACTCAGAGTCAGGGTTGGGCTAAAGTTGCTTGTAATGTCATACCTCACGATCCCTGGGTTTGACACTAATATTCACCTTGTGGCCTGTGGATATTTCTAGATCTCCAGTCTAGATATCAAGAGAGGGAAGATGTGGATGCAGATGTGGAATTGGATGGACAGTGTCTGTCACACAGCAGACATCTGATTCACATTTAGTAAACATGAGATGTAGATATAAAGGCATGAGTAGGATATAAAATGATGCATGTCCTTTCATTGTTTTTATATAAATGTTTTTCGAGGAGCATTGGGATCACAACACAGTTACTGATTTTGTAATCTGCTGTGAAGGAAACATCTATGTTTCTGTTTCTAAAAATTATGTCTTTTCATTGGGAAAAAATAAGCTGTAGAAAATGAAGAAAGATGCTTCTAAGTAGATGAATGTGATCCTGTAGTTGGTCATCTGTAAAATGGGCAAGTTGGTACTTACCTCACAGAGCTGCTGTGAGGAGAAATGAAGAAACCAACAGGAAGTATCTGATATGTAATACTGTAAAACTTTGACACATATATATATCATCTCTCCTGTGTTCTCTCCCCAACAGAGGAGATGACTTTACCATGAACAACTCATAGAACCCACTGGGATTTGAAGGAGCATGGAAGCAAATATATATGTTACAAGTATATATCCGGTATGTATTCTCTTTCAGAGCTTCTAAAATAGACACACCCATTTTCTCACTTTACATGCTATAGCAGAATTGGCAGATAGGATATTATTTTCAGGCATTTTTTTAAAAATCAGCTTTGTTTAGTCTTAGAGTTCCCAGGGTCCAGCTAGCCCCAAACATTGTCAGGTGTCTCCTGAACCTGAAACATCTTCCTTTTTCCCAGGCCTAATTTTCTGGCTTTTATTCACACTGTTACTCATTTAGGCCTGTACATCTGGAACCTGATCTGGGCCATCCTGGTGAGAGATGACAGTGACTGCAGGGAGTTCATTTTCTTGTGTCCAGACTAACATCCACATCCCTACGTTCATTGAGGGTTAGAGGTGTTTTAATCCACGTGTGTTGGTTGCCCTGGGCCCTGGGCTGAAGGAGCCTGTGACTAAACTTCCCCCTGAAACCCGCTGTTGAAGCATCTCACTTCTGGAAGCTGTGGGCTGAGAGCACTGAGCAATCTCCTGCTCCCTCCCAAATTCCCTCCACTGTAGGTTCCCTGCTTAGCTAAGTGGGAGGTTTGACCCATGAGCCTGCTTTCAGTTCAAGGGGCTTTATTTAGAGAGAAGAGAAAGAAGCATGCTGTGAAACTACTTTCCTCTCATGACCTTTACTAAGTCCTGGGGAATGGAGACATCGGAGGACTTCTCCAGTGTAAGATTTATTTGAGCAGCATGCTTGCCCTTCCCCTAGGCATCTGCGGTGTCCCTGACACTGTCGTGTAGATTCAAAAATTAGTCTGAGACCAACTAGTGCATAATTCCCTTGGTTTAGTGATGTTCCCCATTCTGATGCTGAGCCACTCTCCTATGGGGAGGTCTAGGGAAATTTATTCATTCTTATTATTTTTCACCTTCAAAACCAAGACACTTTTATGGTAGTTAAAAATGGATACTGCTCAAAAGGAAAAAAAATCATTAAATACCCTTGAAAGTCTATTTCCCATGGATAAGCACTGTGATCATTTGTATATTTTTTTTTCAGAAATTTTACCATACATGTATAATCATGCATTTTTAAGATTAGCAATGACATGACCATCTACTTATAGTTTTGTAAATTACTTTTTTATGATAAACACCATATTATTAAAGTCAATTCAAGCCAATCAGTATAAGTCCACATAATAATAAAAGTGGCCCTAAAATCTCTACTGATCCATTCTGGCATGATAATAATGATAAGAAAGGTCAATATTGCTACTGACCCCTTTTGTGCCCCATGCTATTGTACGTGATAAACCTGTACTTAATCATCACCGCAGCCTATGAGGAGGAGCTGCTGTTGCCTGACTTTAAACATCAGGGAACTGAGGCGAAGTGAGGGCAGGGCTAGCAGGTCACAAGACCAAGATTTGAACAGATTCGGTGTGGCTGCTGAGGCCCTACATTTAACCAGTGTGCATTGACCCTCAGTCTTACTGTCGATTACATTTAAAGGGCCACTGAAGTCACACTACATGCCATATACTCTAGGCAGGTTTTCTTTTTCTTTTCTTTTTTTTTTTTTTATTAAGTTCAATTAGCCAACCTGTAGTACATCATTAGTTTTTGACGTAGTGTTCAATGATTCATTAGTTGCGTAACACCCAGTGCCCATCAGATCACGTGCCCTCCTTAATTAGGCAGGTTTTGTTACTTACTCACTGGGACAGCTCTGTGACAAAGGTCTGGTGAGTCCCATTTCACGGGTGACCAAGCTCAGACTGACAGAGCCTACCTAAGTTACCTCTCTAGATCAGTGACAGGATGGGATGAGGTTCCATCCCTTGCCCTCCCTGGAGGACACAGAACAGCCTCCCTTGCAGAAGATGGGCTTCCAGGGCTAGAGAACTGATTAGATCAGCTCTACTATTGTGGCCCTACAGGTACTCACTAAGCAACCCCTCTGGTTGATGAAGATAACAGAGGAGATGAAATCTCACCCTATGTGCTAAGAGACCTGGGTATCAGGCCACATGTGTTGGCTGATCCTCGAAGTGCTGACTTAGGCTGGGGGCAGAAGCACAGATCAGATAGGTGATCTAGAGGGAAGGGAAGCAATATGTACAGAGCTACTTTTTTTTTTTTTTTTTAAAGATTTTATTTATTTGACAGACAGAAACACAGCGAGAGAGGGAACACAAGCAGGGGTAGTGGGAGAGGGAGAAGCAGGCTTCCCGCTGAGCGGGGAGCCCGATGCGGGGCTCGATCCCAGAACCCTGGGATCACGACCTGAGCCGAAGGCAGACGCTTAACGACTGAGCCACCCAGGCGCCCCTGTACAGAGCTACTTTAAGCAAATGTATTTTATATTTAATTTCCTTTAATCTTAATAGTATTCAAAATACACATTATTCAAATCAGGGTACTGATTTTAAGGGACTTCAAATGAATTAGGCAAACAACTTATTTTCTTAGGATCAACAGCTAACTGTGGTATTATTTTAAAGTTTTTCACCTTTTGTCTTGAATCCTCCTGGGCTCTGAATGACTAAACCCTAGGGGCTGCCTTATATGGTCTCTATGTGTTACTTAATTTTTAGAATTGTGTGCTACGTAGTTTTTGTCACAATAGTTTTGAAATTTAAAACACATTCTAAATGGAAAATATACTAAGAATTGTGTGTAAACATGGGAGAAATCATTTGCAAACTACAACTCATCTACTGGATTAGTGTCCATAGTTTGTGAAACACACTTAGTAACAAACAAAAATTGGCTTATAATTTAAACAGTAAATTCATGTAAAATTCTAAATGAACAATAAATATGTCAAAATGTCAAAATATGCCCAAACCACAAGCATTAATAAGATGCAAGTATAAATACTTAGATTCATATTGAGTGGAAAATATAATATGCAAAAGATGAGAAATGTGATTCCTTTTTTGGAAAAGACCCTGTTTGTGCATGTGTGTGTACGTGTGCAAGCATCTACTTTCATGTACCCTTCACCTAGAGGGACACATCTGGAGAGGAGGCACCATTCTATGACAACAGACCCCTTTGAGTCAGGCGGTAGGACCGCGGCTGGTGAGAAATGCGGGACAGTTTCAGTTTATAAATGTACTTTCATATGTTGTTTGAAATATAGTATTCAGGAAAAATAATTTGATGAAAATTTGAAAGCAGAATATACTTATAAACAGATTCAGAAAAGTAATGTACGGGCGCCTGGGTGGCTCAGTTGGTTAAGCGACTGCCTTCGGCTCAGGTCATGATCCTGGAGTCCCTGGATCGAGTCCCGCATCGGGCTCCCTGCTTGGCAGGGAGTCTGCTTCTCCCTCTGACCCTCCCCCCTCTCATGTGCTCTCTCTCATTCTCTCTCTCTCAAATAAATAAATAAAATCTTTAAAAAAAAAAAAAAAGTAATGTACACATGTATTCATTACTTTGGAAAAGCATTTCGTTTTATTAAATTAAAAAAATGAAGTAGGAAAAAATAGAATTGAAAGAGTTTCTCCCTGTACCTGTGTGTGTTTATAGGTCTCTCTAGCTGTATCACCCCAAATACTCACATTCACAAGTGCATCTTTATCTTCAGTTCAAACCAAAGCTGGACAGCTAATCTCAGGTCTAGACAGCCCAGAAAATGATGGTGATACAGCTGGATGGCTGCGTAGGTTAAAAAAATTCCATTAAACTCTGGCTGAAACCATTAGATCGAGATTCAAACTTCCATCCCTTTCTTCCCCTTGCTGAGCCCCCAGGTTTGAGACTCTCAGAGCTGACATCCTGGATCTGGCTACCTGGTGGCATCCATCTCCATTTTTCTTTTTGCTTTTTTAAGGAAAGGAGTGCATTTAGCAAAGGGGAAGAAATATCAGATGGTTTATTTACTAAGACACACCACTTGGCTCAGTTAAGCATCTGCCTTCTGCTCAGGTCATGATCCCGGGGTCCTGGGATTGAGCCCCGCATCGGCCTCCTTGCTCAGTGGGGAGTCTGCTTCTCCTTCTCCCCCTGCTCATGCTCTCTATCTCTCTCTCAAATAAATAAATAAAATCTTTTAGGAAAATTCATATGAATACTAAAACAATTCCATCCACAGTTGACCCTAAATCTACTTCATGTTCATTGATGTATTTCTTCCCTCCTCAGTGTGGGTTGACATGTCCACACTGTAGAGGGTCTCTCCCAGAGAGCAGGGCATTCACCCTCCATTATCCCATCCTTGTAAGGCTGCCAGGCCTTCTTCCACCCTCTGTCATCTGTCCATGACACAGCACACAGCTGTCCAGAGCCTGCCCAGAGGCCCCATCCTCTCAGGTTCCTCCCTCCTGCCCCAGCTGCCTTTTCACGTGCTGCTTACTGCCAAGGCACGCTACTGCCACCTAGTGTTTCATCATCTGCAGGCCCTGGAGTATGTTTTTAGAATCTTTTACATCCATCAGTTTTCTCAGACAGAATTAGAATCATTTTTTTTTAAAGATTTTATTTATTTGACAGAGAGAGACACAGCGAGAGAGGGAACACAAGCAGGGGGAGTGGGAGAGGGAGCAGCGGACTCCCCGTGGAGCAGGGAGCCGGATGCGGGGCTCGATCCCAATCATGACCTGAGCCGAAGGCAGATGCCCAACGACTGAGCCACCCAAGCACCCCAGAATTAGAATCATTCTGAACATGGATTCAAAGGCTGTATTTTAAATGACGGTATTGTGGTTTTTTTTGCTCCTAGCTGACCTTTCTTTGTAGAGAAGTTTAATGATGGTGGTGAGTTGGTGCCATCTTGTGACAAAAACCTGAACTGCAGCTTGAACTTCGCGGAGCAGGAAGATGGGAGGGAGGGGCTGTGGCCCCAAACCAACCAGAGCTTTCTGGAAGTCTGCGTGGAAAGGGGACATTTCCAAGGTATGGGGGTACTGAGGACCTTCGGGCAGAAAGTGTAGCCTCTTGTGTTGAAGAAAAAGCTCTATGTGAGTGGAGGTAAAAGATCCTTTTAATTTTTATTTTATTGGCCCATGAATTGACAGAAAGATTAAAGTAACAATAGAAAATATGACATAGGCCCAATTACATTTAAAAAACTAGAATATGACTAAAGCAGCATTTCAAATCTGTGCAGATACAATGGATGATTAAGAAGTGGTATTGAGATAGCTAGATAACCAGAAGGTTAAAAAATAGATAGGGTCCCATTTCTCTATCTTGAAACAGCAGGATAAATTCCAAACGATTCTGAATGAAATATAAAAAAAATCCATACAAGTATTAGAAGAAAACATAGGTGAATTATTCTATAACCTGGATGGAGGAAAGTTTCCTCAATATGAATCAGTATCCAGGAGCATTAAGGAAAAAAATTGATATATTTGACAACATAAAAAAAAAACAATGACAACTCTGCATGGCGAAAACATGCTAGCCAATTAAAAACACTGGAAGAAACATTTGCAGCTAACATCTTTAACAAAGCATTGATATCCCTCCTATATAAATGCTTATCAATATAGAGGCATGAAAAAACAACAGCCCTATCAGAGACATGTAAGAAATGAACAGTTAACAGAAAACAAGTTGTCTTTAAATGTATGAAAAGTCTACAGCTTGCTTTAATTAAGAGAGATGCAATTAAAACTACACTAAGATATTATCTTTTAACTGTTAGATTGGCAAAGATCCAAATGTTTGTCAATATACTCAGTTGGTGAGAATGTGGAAAAACATGTCCTTTCACTCCCTGCTCACAGAGGTGCAAGATGGTATAATCACTGGAGTAGGCTTAGTAGTGGTCCCCAAAGATACTAGGTCCTAATCCCTGGAACCTATAAATATTGCTTATATGGAAAAGGTTCTTTGCAGATGTGATGAACTTGATGCTTTTAGATGTAATAATAAATATAGATATAGCTATTTACTCTGGCACTATCTGAATAGCAAAAGAATGGGAACAACCTAATGGGGGGTTATCCTGGATTATCAAAATGGGCCCTAAATGCAAACCCAACTGTCTTCATAAGAGAGAGACAAAGGGAGAGTTGACACAGACAGAAGAAGGGAAGGCAGTGTGACCAGGGATGCAGAGGTTGGAGTCATGCAGCTATAGCCAGAGAATGTTGGTAGATATCAAAAGCTGGAAGAAGCAGGGAAGCTTCCCTACAGTCTCCAGGAGTGAAGCACTGCTGATACCTTGATTTTGGCCCCATAAAACTAATTTTGGACTTCTAGCCTCCAGAACTGTGAGAGAATATTTCTATTTAATGACGCCAAGTATGTGGTAAATTTTGCAGTAACCATAGGGAACTAATATAATCATTATGGTGGGGAATTTGAAAATATCTTGCAATGTTATATATGGCCTTACTTTTTGACTCAGAAATCCGATTTCCAGAACTATCCTAAAGATATACTGGCAGTGACACAAAAATATTTTTGATATAGATATAATAATAAATACAGATACAGATATTCACTCTGGTACTCTTTAAATAGCAAAAGAATGGGAACAACTTAAATATTTTTCAATTGTGTAATGGATGAAGAAACTATCACACAGTCACACAAAGTGTACACTAAGTATGGTATAAAGAAGACTAATGAAAATCTCCACATAAGGCTGTGGAGGATCTCCAGAATATAATGTTAAGTGAAAAAGTCAGTGTATATGAAGATGTAAATAGCATGGTACTTTTTATCTAGGAAAGGGGGAATGCAAATGTAAAAATGTTTTACTTGTATTAAAAGTCAAAGGACTTCTCTTTTGGGGACCAGAAGGAGTAGATACACTTCTTCCTGTTACTCCTGCTAGGTGCAGCTGAAATCTCTGGATATTATATGGGCAACCAATACAAGACTCTGAAAGGTGGAGAGGAAAAAGGCAGACTGACTTGGGACTTTGGGACCCAACTAATGACACACAGTGAATTCTCTTGGTTGTATTTTGCCTCATATACACCAGATACACCATATACTCCAGACTGGGTGCTGGAGGAGTAGGGAACCAAAAAAATGCCAACCGGAAAAGACAAGAAGAGCCCCGAGAAAATCTTTTCTCTGGACAAAGAACCAGACAAGGGGAAACCTAGCAAGAAAGAAAGTTTTTAGACAACAACTGCTCTTACACCATAGAATTGAAGCATAGCTCTACGTCCACCATACCAGCAAAGGCTGAGTGGGGAGCATGGATTCCATGCCCACACGATTGTAATTAGGCATCCATCCTTACCCTTGGGGGATATGAGAGAAGAACTGCATGTAGAACAGTGACTTTCATCCCAGCCTGGGGGTAATGAGCACTCCTCCTCATGGTGACAGTGGAGATCATGCGGGAGCCTACCTTCCACCCACACTCAGTGGTCACGAGGTACCTTCTTTTCTTCTCTTGGAAGTTTCATGACCATCCAATGAGGAGGAGGCCTCCTCCCCTCCACAGCATCAGGGGAGACCACATGGAAGGCAGTAAGGAAGTGTCTTCCCCACCTGCCAGGGTGGTGTCAATGGAGGCCTGGTGGGGCATCAAATCCTACTTCTACCAAGCAGTAACAAGGCACCCCTTCCCTTCCACTCCCATGCGTACCCACCTTCCCCATGTCAGTGGAGGCTGAGTAGGAACCTGAACTTTTATCTTTTTTGCCATCTGTCTCTGGTTAGGAACACATGCTTGGAATTGCAAGCATCCACGAAGGGAGGATAGTAATACCTCATAGTAAGTTTGTGGTAAAGAACTAAATCTAGTCAACAACATGAAGAACCTATCCCTAGGTCCTGCTTAACTAAATGCTACATAAATACTAGCTGTCTGTACCCCCCAGATCAGATAACTCAGGTAGCTCCTTTATCTGCTCCCTCAGATAGGGCCCCTGAACCTGGACACAGGTCAGAATCGCCTTGGAATCCTTTTCTAAACTCTCACCTGAAACTCTCTGGTTGGGGGAAATGGGACTTCCCATATCAAAGGCCTTTCAAGTTACTCAGCTGTCATAACATGGGCCTTAGACAACAGATATGCCCATTTGACATAACACTGTATGTGAGAGTCTATTTCCCCTCCATTCATCCAACACCAGGTGTTACCATCTTATGTCTTTATTGCTAATATGGTTGCTCATATCCCCAGACTTAACTCCATTGGAAGGGTGATCACAGGCAGCTAGTGGTGGTGGTCTGAAGAGTGAAGGTGTTTTGCTTTTGGCGAAAGGGGACCTAGCGTTGTATTAGGCACATAGTTACTCCAGTAAAACACATTGATTGCTGATTCTGTCTCTCCCTGTATAGCTCTTCATGGTGGTGGCCCAGCTCCTATCATGTGCCTGAAGGAGGCAGGTTCTGAGGTTCTGTGTCTGGATGGCTTCTACTCCAGCAGTCTTTAGGAGAGCCCATCACCTTACATCCCTGGTGGGATATGGTACCTGGCTGAAGTGAGTGCATAGATCTGAACAAAAGCATGTTGTGGAATAGCTCCGGTGAGGTTCACAAACTAGCCTAAAAGTAGAGAAGCTGCTTTGATCTCATCATGGGAGAAGAGGTTTAGCACGTGGAATTTTATTTCATCAGCAGCTATAGCCTGTGTAGTAGCCCTTGGGGCCCATCTTAGAGACACTTCTTTTTTTCCTGAAAAGCAATGAATCATCCAGTTTAGGAAGGAAACTTACTTGGTCTTTAACATACATTTGCAATAAATATACCTGAATTGTTCTCACCATATAAATAATAATCAGCAATTCCCATGTCTTTCAGATGGGTGTGGAAATGTGCAGTTATTAGATCTTCCTAGTAATATGACATTGTAACAGATTCTTCTCTGGTGCCCATGATTTTTTCCTATTATATAATGAAATTTTTTAAAAAGTCAGAAAATTTCCAAGTGTTAGTTAAAGATATCATTGACAAGAAATTATTATTGTTGTTATTGTTATTGTTATTATTATTATTTTAAAGATTTTTATCCACTTGTTCCAGAGAGAGAGAGCAAGGGGAGTGGCAGAGGGAGAGGGACAAGCAGACTCCTCACCGAATGCGGAGCCCAACGTGGGGCTTGATCCCAGGACCCCGAGACCAGGACCCCAGCTGAAACCAAGAGTCAGACACTCAACCGACTGAGCCACCCAGGTGCCCCTAGAACTTAATATAAAAAAGATAATTATTACTCCAGAGTTTTCCCGCTTATAATGATACTCAGCTACATTCCCTAAAATAACCAGTTACTCTTAAATGTCATTATGATTATTTTCCTAGAATAGAATATTTTTATTTCCATACTTTAGAAGGAAACAGACATCACTTTTCCCTAAATATTTGGATATATGTCATTAGAAATGATTATTTCTATTTTGGTTATATGCAGCATGGACCAATTTGATGAGACATAGTGTGGATCTGCTAATGCTACAAGAACACAATTGTGGGAATCTTTCACCTGATTTATTTAATTGCATTAGAGAATTATGAATATATAAATATATGTAAAATACTTTATTGATATATGACTGACATATAATACACTGCATATTTAAAGTATATGCTTTTTTTTAAGGTTTATTTATTTATTTGACAGAGACAAAGCGAGAGAAGGAACACAAGCAGGGGGAGTGGGAGAGGGAGAAGCAGGCTTCCCGCTGAGCAGGGAGCCCAATGCGGGGCTTGATCCCAGGACCCTGAGATCACAACCTGAGCCGAAGGCAGACGCTTAACAACTGAGCCACCCAGGCGCCCCAAAGTATATGCTTTGATAAGTTTTGATGTATGTATGTACCTGTGACTCCAATACTACAGTCAATCTAATGAACATACCCATCACCTTAAAAAACATTCTTTGTGCCCCTTGGTAATGCCCCCATCTACCTCTCTCCAGCCTCTTTCTCTCCACATCACCCCACCCCGTTCCCAGGCAACTACTGATCTTCAGTATGGGTTAGTTTTCTTTTCTTATAATTTTATGTGAATGGAATATACAGTGTATATTTTTTGTGTCTTGTTTCCTGCAACCTAATTATTTCTAGATTTATCCATTTGTTGCGTGTATGAATAGTTCCTTCTTTTTTTTTATGATTGACTAATATTCCATTATATGGGTATACCACAATTGTTCTGTCCATTGACCTGGTCATGGATATTTGGGTTGTTTCCAATTTGGGGCTCTTATAAATAAAGCTGCTACGAATATTTGTATATGAGTCTTCATTTGGACATATGTTCTCTTTCTCTAGGGTAAATACTTAGGAGTGCAATGGCTGGGACATAGAGTAGTTGTAAGATTGACATTTTAAGAAACTGCCAAACTGTTTTCCAAAGTGTTGGCACCATTTTTCATTGCAACTAGCAGTGTATGAGAGTTCCATCCTCCACAACCCTGCCAGGACTTGGTATGGTCAGTTTTTTTAATGTTGGCTATTCTTAGAGGGGTATAGTGGTATCTTGTAGGTTTTATTTACATTTCCCTAATGAATTTGAATATCTGAGAAAAGGTGTTTAACATCTTTTCATGTGCTTATTTAACATTTATGTATCTTTTTTAATGGAGTGTCTATTCAAATTTTTTGCCCATTTATTTGTTAGAGTAACTGTTTTCTTGTTATTGACCTTTGTGAGATGTTCTGTATTCTGGAAACAAGTCCTTTATCAGAGTTCTGATTTACAAATATTTTCTCCCAGTCAGTGGCTTGTCTTTTAATTCTCTCAACAGTGTCTTTGGAAGAGCAGAAAATTTTAACTTTGAGGAAGTCCAGTTTATTGATTTGTTTATTTATTAATTATAGTTTTGATTTTGCATCTATGAAATCTTCACCTAACCCAAGGTCACAAGGATTTTCTCCTTTGTTTTCTTTTAGAAGTTTTAGGTTTTATATTTAGGTCTGTGATCCATTTTGAGTTGACTTTTGTATATGGTATGATACATGGATCACTCTTTGTGCATATGGATGCTCACATGTCTCAGCTCCATTCATTGAAAAGGCTATCCTTTCTCCACTAAATTGCCTTTGCAGTTTTGTCAAAAATCAGTTGTTCATATAGGTGTGAACTCCGGGCTCTATTCTGTTCCTTTGATCTACTTACTGTCTACCTTGATGCCAATACCACAGTGTTTTGATTACTGAAGGTTATCATAACTCTTGAAATCAGGTAGTTTTGATCCTCCAACTTTGTTCTTTTCTAAAAAAATTTTTTTGAGAAGTTGACACACAATGTTACTTTAGTTTCAGGCATACAACATAGTGGTTCAGGAAGTTTATACATTATTCTGTGTTCATCACAAGTGTAGCTACCATCTGTCACCATACAACACTATTACAAAGCCATTGGCTGTATTTCCTGTGCTGTGCCTTTTATGCCCGTGACTTATTCATTCCATAGCTGGAAGCCTGTATCTCCCACTCCCCTTCACCCATTTTGTCCATCCCCCAGCCCCCTCCCCTCTGGCAACCATCAGTTTGTTCTCTGTATTTATAGGTCTGATTCTGCTTTTTGTTTATTCATTTGCTTTTTAGATTCCACATATGAGTGAAATCATATGGTATTTGTCAGTCTTAGTCTGACTTATTTCACTTAGCATAATACCCTCTGGGTCCATCCATGTTGTTGTAAATAGCACAATCAAATTTGTTCTTTTTCAAAGTTGTTTTTATAATCTAGATCCTTTGCATTTCAATATGAATTTTAGAATCAGCCTCTCAGTTTCTTAAAAAACAAAATGTGTGCTACAATTTTTATTAGGATTACACTTAATCTATAGATCATTTTGAGGAGAACAGACATCTTAACAATACTAGTGTTCTGACACATGAAGATGGTATGTCCCTCCGTTTAGTTAGATCTTTAATTTCTGTCAGCAGTGTTTCGTAGTGTTCAGTGTACCTACCTTACACATATGTGGAGAGATTATTCCTAAGTATTTTGTACTTTTGGTCCTATCATGAATGACAGTATTTTTTTTTTTTAAAGATTTTATTTATTATTTATTTGACAGAGAGAGACACAGCGAGAGAGGGA